CAGAGCTGTTTTAAAGTCTATTCTCTGAGCCACAGGAAGCCAGTGCAGAGACCTCAGGACCGGACTAATATGGTTGTACTTCCTGGTTCTAGTCAGGACTCGAGCTGCTGCATTTTGAATGTACTGCAGTTGTTTTACAGCCTGTCTAACCTACTGGAGACAAATGCATGGATAAGAATCTCCAAGTCTGCTTTAGACACTATGTTTTTGATCCTGGCAAAGTTTTTTAGATGGTAAAAAGCTGCTGATGTTACTGATTTGATGTGGCTATTAAAATTTAAGTCTGAGTCCAGTATTACCCCTAGATTTCTGACCTTGTTTGAAGGTTTTAATGGTGCTTTTCAGTTCTGTCAGTGACTTCTTGAGTCAACAACTTTAATCAAGCTGAATCTCCTCAAGAAAACAATTCCTTCAAGCAATATAGAAAAAATTGTCATCGCAATGCATATTTTTTTCTTCATTGTGTAAAAGTCCTTGGAGGAAATGGGGGCAATGGTTATTGAATTGTTTCATTGTTCTTTTGAGATTGGGGCTCACTATTCACTATGTCTGGAATCCTTTATCTTTGTTGTGGCTTTCCTTGTTTAATTTGTGCCTCGTCATACTGATAAATGCCACGTTTTGCAACAGTCTGCAACAGAATAAATGCAAGGTCCAGACACACAACACTATTATGAGCTGCTTCTTTCCAACTTGAATCATCTCCCTGTCAGTATCCGCTGCTTCTTGGCTCTGTTCAGGCCTGAGACCGTAAATTGTCCCAGTCTGGCTCTGGTTGAGCCTTCCTTTTAAGGAATTGTTCATAAAACTAATATGGAAATTGGGATTTTTAGGAATTAGCTTTGGGGAGGTGTTTCTCGGCCAGTCGCACCATTTGAGTGAAGGTCAGATGGCTGAGGTGCTCCTGTTTGCTGGATCTCCTCCAGAACACCCCGACTCTGATCCTCTACTGTAGCTGGGAGCAATGTGCTTTAGGAGAAGCAGTTTGGTCTGCAGCCTCTTTGTGGCAGTGCTCTCTTTGTGTGGCCTCAATGTACGTCCTCATCTCCTGCTGTTCTCTTTTTTCAGAAACATCCGCTCCTGATGCAGGTCACTATTGTCCATCTGCAGCTAATCCATCTACAGAGTCTCTGTCCAGTTGTGCCCGGAATGCAGGAGGATCTTCAGGAGGGTTTGTTAGACTGTTAGTGGGTCTAACAAAAAGGACAGCAGTGTGGATCCAGGACACACATTTATCAACTCCCCCTATATATAGACAATACCTGTGTTCTATATTTGTTGTTTTCGAACTGTTTGATTCTCTGATCTGTGTTGGCGATTTCAACGGTTTTGTTTGGTCCTCTGAGATAACTACTGTTGTGATTTAGGGCTATACAAGAACACATTGAATTTAACTCTCTTCCACTAGGACTTGTACCCAGCCTGCCTATTTCAATTTGAAGCTCATTATTCTTGGTCTTATCATGTTCCAGACAACCTTTTTCAGCTCCACAGTTGTCTTTTCTTTAATCTTTACTGTTTTTATCTCTGAGGAATGTTCGCTCTTTTCTTTTCTTTCCTCAAGCTTTAACAGATTAAGTTTGAGTGGTCCTTCAACTCCTGCTCTGATTTACCTGAACTGTTTTTTTCTCCTCCAAAATATGTATTACTGCTTTGGAGATTTGACACCAACTCAGAAGGAAAGTCAGGCTGAAATCAAATAATTTTTTATTTTTATTTTTTGGCCATTTTCACAATTATAATATTACACAACATTTACGGCTTTGGCAGTAGCAGTCGTGAAAATCATGATAAAAAGTAGGTGTAATGTTATAGTAGCTTATCATAGTAATGAAGTACTTGCTGGGCATAAAGCTTATGAAGAGTGTCCCATATATTGGCAGAGTATTTAATTAACAATTCTGCCTATTTTTGCCACATTTGTCATTTTTCACACAGAGGGCACAGTCTGATTGGAGCAAGGTGATGGGGACCTGCACTTCTGTACATTTGACAAAGTGAAAACTACTTTACATTTTTCAATTTCACTCGCTGTGACAGAACCCAAATTAAAAGTCTGATTACACGCCAGAGCTACTGAAGTTATTTTTGGAGAGCGTTGTTAAAGATGGAGATCAGGTTTTATACTTTCCTTTCTTTTTTTAAAAGTATGTTATGTCATGGTGAGCATAAGACATCACACTGTGTTGCCATATATATAGTGACAATACAAATATGTAATACGTTACAAATATGCAACATTAAGTTCAACGGTTATGCCAAAATAAGTGACTTTTTGGATTATTAGCTAATAATAACCCAAATAAGCTAATATGCTACATTGGCAAATTTGCTCATTGAATACTGCTTTCAAAATATATCACAGTTCATTTTAATCAACAAATATTTTCATGTCTGGATTCAAACAATAGATTATTTTGAGCTGCCCCTCCGTTTCTGACTCAGTGCAAAATGAGTTAAAAAGGTGGAAATAAAATGATAAAAACATGCCAGTTACATCTACAACTCCTGTTTGAGATAGAGGAAAATAACAAGACCGTGACAGAAAAAGCCATGTGTGTGATATATAAATTGGCCTTTTCAAGAAGCAGCTGGAAAGCAATTTGGTTTTTATATTTAATTGCGGTGTTAAAATATGAGGCAGAACACACCATGTGGAAAATTACACGCTAAAAACAATTTGAAACAAGTTAATGCTTTTATTGCTACAACTTTATCATCTTCCTTTGCATTTGTAAAGTGAGAGAATAGTGGATGGATTGATTAATGCAAAAATATCTCTTTGATTAGCGTTCTTTTCTTAATTTACACTTTTTTTGTAACAATCTGCTCTATATACTGCTCTAGATCCAAATATCCAATGCATTTCAAACAACAGCAAGGATATAAAAAAAATTTGGTATCTAAATATATAACTGTATTTATCCTATACAAAAAGAGTTCACCGTTATAGGTTCTACAATCCTCAAACAGTTTGTCCTCATAAGCCACCCTTACTCCAACAGAAGAGTGAGAATTGAACTAAGTTAGATAAAGCACATTGTCTATTGATTGGCTTGTAAATGACAGTGTGATACATGACAAATAATCCCATTTAGTGTCCCAACACTTGTTTCTAATGGTTTCCAAATCATTACAGTCAGGAATGGATCACAATTAGTTTAGCATTTAGCAGCGCAGAAGCGGCTGTGCATACCTAACTGTGATTTGGAGCTGTAGCTGGAGCCTGTCTGTCGAGTTTGACTTTTCTATTCTCTGGACAGCTCTTTTTGTTCAGCCTGCGGCGCCCTCCCACCTGTGGAAGCAGAGAGGACTGGAAACACATTTGAAAGACTTGAGAGGAGGATGTAGAAGTATATAGATTTGTTACTGTGCTTTGAATGTTGGGACCACGTATAACCTTATCCCCCATATATGTCCAATCATGTACCATTGTCCTGTTACAAAGATGGATTAATTGGTTCTTCGGTATATTTTATCTTCAAAGCCTATTCCACGTATAAGAAGATATTCTTCAAAGCCTTTATGTGCATTTCTTTTTCATATATTTTACACAATTGCTATCGTCTACAAAAAAAAGAAAATCTTCAAAGGAATTAATTATTGTTAGGTTGTACAAATGGCATTTTGTGTTTAATAGTGTACAGGGGAAATTTGATTATAGTTGAAAAGCCCATTTACTTCTAGTTTAACTTACAATGTGAAACTAATTTATGAGATACTCGCAAAGACAGATGTAGCAAGCCTTTTATATTGTTGATAATTGGTTCAGTTTGACTGTCCATGTAAATGCACTGTAATAAGGCAGTAGAGGGTTGACACTCATTCCTTTCTAAGCGTGTTCATTAACAAGAGCGAAAGCCATTTTTCAAATGTTGATACAGCTTGAACACGAGTCATCCACTTGTTTTCAATCAATCAGAACAATGTACCGAGTTTCAAAGATTCAATCACAATGTCGATTCAATCACAATGTCGATTGTGTTGGTCCTATCCAGCCTTGGACCTAAACAATTATTTTTTATTAGTGACGTATTGTATTTGGCAAATGAAAATTAAACACGCACACTTCTGTCGCCAAGACAAATAAGACACATGGAAAAGGTTATATTGGAGAGTAAGCCCAACAGTCGCATGAAAATATTTAATTTAAATCATAAAGTGGACACAGTATGGTTGTTTCAAAACTTTATTTAACTCCTGAAAAAAGCAAAGCTGACTTCAATGATGCATTTATGGATTTTGGTATTTTTTCTGGTTAAACGTTACCTTCTGCACTTTATCATAAACCATACACTTCAGTGTCTATCTTAAAGACTGAACAATGGAATGATTACAAGGTTATGTTGCAGCCTTGACACATTTTGGCAACATTGTATAAAATGTAAAAATGTTGAGTACTATTGGGTACAATAGTAGATCCTTTGTTTTAATCTCATGAGGTTCTCAAGCTGTGTATATAAAGGAATCACATTGAAGATAATTTACCTCAGATGATTGTCTAGATGAGGCTTATTTGGCCTCATCTAAACTATTCCATCTAAACTATTGGACTTACCAAATCCAGTTCCTGGGTCTGACATAGGTCTGCATTGTTTAGATGTTCTGAGGATAGGATAGGAAAACAATTTTGAATACAGTCTCATATATTTGTTTTGATGTTTTTAATTAGAAAAATTCAATCAATTGAGCTGTAGAGGATTATCTAACACCAAAATTATATTCTCCAGCTGTGGTACACACAAACACCGCAGTTTGAGTAACAGTATAGAATAAATGAACAAACCTTATAACTAGCACATTTGACCATATTGTTTTCTTTGTACCACTGGTGTACAGTAGCTCACTTCAATGCAACATGTTTGAACGTTGTTTTCATGAATACATCTCAAGTAAAACAATTCTATAAAACAGTGACAGTAAATCTGTAACAATATTAAATGTATTTCACATTCAACTGAATGTAAAAACCATTGCTTTTAGAGGTCAGCACACTAATACTAGGACTGTGAGCTCCAGTCAGGGATAGCAAACTTCTTGGACTGCCTTTTGTGCTGTCCGATAGTGTAGTCAAGGTGGATACTAATGTGCCTGTCGCTCTGCTCTGAGGGGGACATCTGCACCTCCCCTGTGACCAGCGTGTCCTGCACTACTTCCTCGGGACGGTCCACGTACAGAACCGCTTGTTTCCAGTGAGTCTCCGGGTTGAAGGGAGACGTGGACAGAACGATTGGCTGTTGTGGTTTGTCCGGACATGGGAATGATACGGTGAACCACACGCAGAAAGCGTTCACAGCCGCGCAACCAAACGAGGAGCATGAGAAGTGGCCTCTGACTGCGCGCAGCTCCTCTGTGGTGATAGTGTGCAGGTCCAGCTCTGCAAACCGCGACGGGTGCGACAACACATCCTCCACAGTCACCGGGTTCACCGCGATGTCAGAGTTTTTTATGCATTTTTCAGCGAATTCATACATGCATGACATATCCACCCCGTACTGGTCTTTCACGTGGTACCAGAAGTGCAAGCGGTCCTCCACAACGGGGTCGCTCATCGGCGCAATGTACAGTTCAGCTTTGCTCGGCAGCATGAGACCTCCGGGTTTCAACCATTTATCCCGGGCGTAGAGCACGGAGTTCAGCATGGACTCATGCAGCAGCGCGTACCCCATCCACTCGCTCACGATCACATCCACCGGCTCCGGGATCTCCACAGTCTCCACCGTGCCGCGAATGACTTCTATCTTGTCCTCCATCTGGTTGTGTTTGACTATTTTTACAGCTTGTTCCGCGATCGAACAAGCCTCCACTGCGTAGACTTTCTTGGCCCCGGCCTGCACACAGAACATGCTCAGGACGCCAGTGCCAGCCCCCACGTCCAGCACCACTTTCCCCCGGATAGACTCGCTGTTCCTCAGGATCGCCGTCCTGTATGTGCCCGTGCGGACGTGGTCCGCTATCATCTCCTCATGGATGGTCACGTCCGTGTAGCTGTCAAAATAGAGACTGTCCTGGCGGCTTTTGTCCAGTTTTCTTTTCTTTGCGGCGTGAGACATGCTGGATGCTAGCTTTGCTTTTGCAACCGCTACATGTGCTACATTTCTCTCATTTCCGGTTTGTCAAACTGGGATTTGTAGTTTATATTGAACCCGGCATGAACTGAATGCAACGAAAAAGGACTACAAAAGACTACATTTCCCAAAAATAGAATAAATGAGGGGGACCGCAAGAAATTATGTTAGATCACAGCAGCTCACCTATCTTACAATAATAATCGTTTTGTCTTTGTTTTTAGACCTACCTACATACACAACATAGATCTAATGACACGTAACTTTTTAACACAACGTTTTAAAAATAAGTAGGTTAGTATCCATTTTATATATATATATATTTATATATAATATATAAACACTGTGAGGGCCAATGATTTTCATAATCATTTGTCAAAATAAAATCAGTGTTTGCGTTTTAATTACATTATTTTTTGTTCAGCCCTAAATCACAACAGCAATCATCACAAAGCTGTTGATTCACCAAGAACAGATTGCAGCATCAAACAGTTAGAACACAGGAAACACTGCATTAGTAACAAACACATAGCTCAATAGACTTGGTCATTGGTTCATAAAGAGCAGAATGACCACCTTTCATAAATGTTAATAAATGTGCACAAATGTCCCAGATCATCATTGTCCTTAGACACTCCTGCATTAGCCAGGAACAACTAAAAAAAGCTTTCAAAAGGGACATAGATACATATTCTATAGCATTAGTAAACAAAGTGAAAGGTGAACATGTGTTGTGTCAGCTCTACACAATCATTTTAGCTTCCAATTCAGATGTTTTACAATTATAATTCTTCTCACGTCATGTCTTGTCAAACTTGCACACATGCAGTTGTTTGTGTTCCAAAGCAGCTGAAGCTTTCCCACAGTCCTCCTCTTCATAATTAAAGCTCAGTTTAATTGCATGTGGAGTGTGCAGATCTAACAGCTCCACACAGTAGTTTCTTGTCTGTGAAGTTATGGCAGGCAGAACACAGCTGCTTTTCTCCTCTCTCCTCTGGGACCTTCATCAGTCTGCTTCAACTACAGCCGACAACACTTGCTTCTGCTGCTGGACAAATGAGAGGAACCCTTTTTGTAGAAACAAACAAGAAAGACCACTGTAGAAAAGCCAAACTGGCATCCTGCTTAACACTTTCACACTTGTACTGAAGTGGATAAATAACAAGTTAGTTGTTCCAGCAGCATGTCGCAAAGTTGGAATGGAAAACAAATACATTTAGAATAATTTTAAACCTAATTGCAAAAAACAGTAATGTACTGATTAAGTGTACATGGAGGAGGGAGAACACAGAGTGGTGGAAGATAGGGGTCAGAGGGGATTTTGTGTGTGTGTTGTCTTATCATATACAGTACAGTATGATATTATTTTGTGTTGCTGTTTCGTTTTTCTATTTTGACCATTGTGTTCCAAATGCTCTTGTCTTGTGTTGAGTGTGTGAAGCGTATCTGTTTTTTTTGTCCTGTGAGGATGTGTTTGTACATGTTTTGAAATACCTGTAAATATCTTGATCGATTGACAAGAAGATGAATGAAACAACACCCCACATGTCATTTGAATTTGTTGTATAATATAAGATATTTTATTGTATGTTTTATTCGTCATTGAAGGATCGTGCCGAATGTGGTGCAACCAAGATGGAACAGAGTTAAAAGATTGTATCGGTACACAATAGTCCAATCATATATTGTTTAATAAATATATTAAACAATTTATATTCAGACTGTGTTGGTGTTAAACCACAATAACTGTACACAACATGTCTTCCATTATTTAGATTTAAATAACCACAAATCTATTTCAGATTTCTTTTGAATAATATCATCATGGTTTGTGATTAATCATTTAGATATACTATAAATAAAGGTTCAGTCAAAATCAGCACGACATAAAAGTTATGCCTGAAGGAAGGACGATTTCTGAATGTACTGGTTCACGACATGTTTTAGAATTAAGAGCGACAGGAAGATCCAGCGGGCTGCAGGATAAATTACCGGAGCGTGAAATACAAAGGGGATCAGTATCTCACGGACAGACAGTTGCATTGACACTGTCCTCTTTTTGTCAAACTCCAAGTCCAGGACCAACTTCCACAGAGACATGATGCAACTACACTACAACTATAGGGAAATGTGTGGTATTGCAATTGTGCAATTACAGTGCCTCTCTAATGTAGTTACTTTTATGCAAAAGCCAGATCCTGCTAGATCTCTGATGCTGTGCAGGGCAGGATCTGGTTAGTTCTGTGATGGGCGACCTCTGGGAACACCAGAGGCCGCATTGAGGCGGCATGGCTGTAAAGTACAAAACTGTCATTGGGCAAGACACTTCTTCCATATTGGTAAAGTGAGTCTAATAATACTCCAACTTTTGCACATTTCGTAATGTTTACAACCATAAACATAAAAGTTTTATTTACGTAAAGTTCACATACAAGTAAGAGACAACTGTAAAGTCATTCATTCATTTTCTACCCCTTTAATTAGTCCATTTCTGGGTCCGGGGGGGATGACAATCATTGCTGCCACCCAATGCTCATAGCACCAGTCCCTCGCTGATCCTCTGCAGGTGGTGAGTCCACAGGAAGATGGCTGCTGTCAATGGTGCCACAGTGGGAGCTGAAGGCAAAGTGGGGTAAGTGTCTTGCCCCACTGGGATCAGTTGGAGTAGGTTCCATGGTGGACTCGAACCCACAACCTCCAGGTCCAAAGGCCAATGCTGTACCAACTGAGCTACTGTCGCCCGCTACACAACTGTGAAGTGAAAGTAAAATAATACATGATTCTAAATAGAAAAATGATCAGTTGGGAACCTGTATTCATACAGCTTTTATTTGAGTGCATTAATCTTCAAGCAACCAAGTGGGCTCATATATGACCCTGGGCATATTTATTCGTGTACATTGTTTTCTAATTTTAATCACAAAAAGTCTACATGTGTCCTGCATTTACTCATTTTGTAACACTTGCTAATTTGTGTGGCAAGTATAATCCAAACTTGCACTTTGACACTTTTGACATCATAGCTTCCGTTGATATTGTAGTTTGCCAACACAAAGCACTATGTTTTACTGATTTGCATGAAAGCATGGCCAACAGAATAGAATTCAAGTCTAGACTAGAACAGCAAGATTTACAGCTGCACAATCATCAACACATATTTTCAAGAGTTCTTTGTGTTTTTTGCTTTTTTGTAAAAATCTATGAGATTCAACAAAGTAATAAACAATGGACTAATTGAATAGAGAGTGATGTAAAATGAAGAACTCTAAGACCATAATTTATAAAGAACTATTCCTATATAAATTAAATGGGGCCAAAAGGACTCCAGCCGCTCATATTTGTTGCAATAGTGTGGCTGATTGAGGATTAAATTGCCTTTAAAACGGTCCTAATCACTGCTGAATATTCACACATTCCACTAAAGATTAAATAGAGGCCTCTTGTGCGCAATCTACTCTCAGTGGAAATACAGCTGTTGTGTGAGGCCTCAGAGCTGTGGTCAGAGTCCATCATGGAGGCTAAGAAGCACACCAGAGGTCAGGAATAAAGTTATGGAGAACACTAGGGCATATTAATGACTCACGTTACACAGTTCAATCCATCATTCGGAAATGGAAAGATTATGGCACCACTGGGAATTTACAAAGACACAGCCGTGTACCTGAACTAACAGAAGACACTCAGATATTCTTCCCTCTGAAACCAAAAGACCCCCGAAGTCTTAATGATGTGAACGGTTGGATGGCCCACAACTTTTTTTTAGCTCAACAACTCCAAATCTGAAGTTCTCCGCAACAACCTCCCCCAATCCATATCCCACATCCAAACTCACCTCTGCTCCACCTCAAACATCACTTCCTCCGCTCGTAATGTCAGTGTATGCTTCAACTCTCATCTCATCTTTTGTCTAACTGCCATTTGCAGTAAAATCACATTGGAATAACTGTGCAAGACTACCCCAGGGTGCATGGACAGAGCAGACAGTACACACTCCTCTTGTTTTGCGAAGTGCTCTGCCTTACCTATTGTGTATTGTGCCATTCATCTGCAAAGGCTCAACAGAATCTTCATTTTAAACAGTTCCATGCAAGCGACACATTGGCTGCTGTGTTTTTGTTGGTAAAGACAAATTCATTATCAGAATTGACAGTCACACACTAGACATTTGCTGTGGGTCAGGGTGCAAACAAGTGTAAAAGACATATAAAGACTTGCATACAAAATCTTTATAAATGTCTACTTGAAAATCTTGTGTTGGCGCTGAAACTGTTTGTCTCTACAGCATAGACCTGACCTATCACAAGCTCAACACAAGGGGAGCGATATGTCAACAAACATTATGGCCATTCTTTGTTGATGCAGTGCAGCACACATACATATCTTAGGCTGCTGTCACATGCACAACCTAAAGCCTAGTTGAGGGAGGTGGGCCTGAGCACACTTCTAAAGCCCAGATGATGGGGGTCAATAAGGTGGGGAGTGGGCAATGGGGTGTGGTCGGGACGTGATATTGTGCTTCCTGCAGTGTCCAAAGTGACGTGCATTTTTACACACGTCACTACCTGCAGTTGCATACTTTTGCATTCTTTATTGCTTGTGTAACACCTTTCATTGGAGCTGTTGAATAACACTTCAGACGTTCAAGAATCAGACACCAGAACACACCAACACACACTTGTATCCTGCCTGGCTCCAGTCACTCTTTTCATTATTTCATTCTTTTCTCAGGCTTTTGCTCTTTACTTTAGGCGCGCTTCTGTGTCCGCCGTGCACCCGCACACACACACGCACGCACTTCACACCCCTTTGGCAACAATCCGGGCCACTTGGCCTAGTTCGTTTGTGAAAACCTATGTGACCATGCCCTTAGAAAGAAAGTCATTAAGGTTTGCGGTTCTTGACATCCGACTCCAAACAAAACAAAAAAATCTAAAACGATTGTGGCATATGCAATAAGAAAACAGACATGTTATGTGAAGGGATGT